CACTGGCGGGAGCAATTTTGATCCAACATGTCACGAAGAGCGGCTTTGATCCAACACATGACCTCCTTGCCAGACAAAGACAGACAGTCATGTTGCGACATGTAAAGCCGACACGCCCAGGCCAGCATCAGCAGGATCAGAGGACACGCCCACCCAGCATCAGCGGCATCAGACGAGGCCTGTTTTTCCTTTGGACGTCCAAAAAGTCACTTACCCAAAAGGACCGAAATCTGAAAACAGGACCCTTTGGCAACGGGGTTTTGTCCAGCTCCAGCTGCGGGATGGAGGAAAAAAACCGCCACTCCTGCCCACCCCCCCCCCCCGATAACCCGCAAGCTCACTCTGTGAGGTGATGAATGAAGCTCCCTCACGAGGAGCTTTCGTGACAAACAGAAGAGTCCCACCGTTTAAGTTTAGGATTTAGGGTAGCTGCAGCTTCACTAAGGAGTACATACTGCCAAGGCGACCTTTCAGAGCGGCCTATTTCAGGATCCCGTTGTGCTTTCGGATTTGCGAACCGAGAAGCATCAATATCACATCCACGTGATGGATGCATACTACAGGAATCTGAGCTTCTACCTTCAACATTTAGGACCGAACAAACGGGCTTCAACGAACCCTGAAAGGAGGTACTGCGAACATCCTTCAAGTTGTTGATGGGCCAGACATAAGGCATAGCGTTTTTCGACAGAAGGGCAGGGGACTCTTTAAAAAGGGCAGGTGGGAGCAGGCTTTTTTTGTATCATCCCCTTTCGCATGTCCCGTCATGACCAAGTGGGGGAGTGCCACTCAAACCAAAAAGCTCTGCCGAAACACCCGAGGTGCGACGTCGCAAAACTTTGACACACACACACACACAAGTTGAACCGAAGCCGGCCTTGTTCCGATACTCTCGATTCTGCAGAATCGACTGGACTTTACGAGCTGCAGGTGCTTCTAACACCGACCAGGTCGGCATGTCGCCCAAGTCGGAAACCATGACGGTGAAGTTTTGCGTGTCCACCACGAAGGCTAGAGCCATGAACACGATGACCTCGGCTTTCCTAGTTTAGTTGAGAACTAATGAACTACTACTGCTCAAGCTGCGCAAAGCTGGCAAGATGCCAGCGCCACAAGAATCGACACCATGTCCAACCATGTCCAGATATCCCAAAAATGCCTGACAATGGCGCGACTGTCTTTGGAAACAATCCTTGCAAGTTCAGCTAAAGATACTGCAGACATTCCGTCAGCTCAAGCAAAGCGGCAGCTGCCAAAGCCCTCGCTTGTATTCAGTGAGGCACTGCTGCATGAACCACAGTAGCTGCACAGACAACAAGATCCTTGGGTGCACGGCATGAACCGGCACAAGGAGCGGACGATATCTCCAGCTTCTGTTTTGTTCATGGCAACTGTCAGCTGGACTTGCCGACCCCAACATTGCCCGTTCTGCTCAAGCTTGGAGTTTCGCAGAGCATGGCTGCAGGCAAGGCGCGCAAAGCATAGGTTGAGAAATATGTGCGACCAGTGCGTGACCACTTCTGCCTGAGGTGGACAGATACAGATTATAGGAAATCCACATGCCCAAAGAGCCACTTGACCTCTCCATGTCTTCTGCGACCGTACACTTGCAGCAGAAACGCTTTCATTGGAATCACACGCATGCTGCTCTCGATGAGGCCCTCTCTGTGAACCACCATAAGCAGCCGGATTCGCACATAAACGTTGGTTTGCAAATTCACGAAAAACGCATCCATCGTGAGGTGCTGCCTGGAAGACAACTGGGTGTTGCAGGTCCAAGCTCCATTCACGGCACGTCACGCTTGTAAGGCATCAAAAAGGCTAGGTTGCGTCAATCTATCTATCCAGTCATTGTCAATGAGACTGTCAATCCGCGATTGCACTTCGGTGACAGGGCGTCCTGCCGGGGCAAAAGCAGGGAAGCTTTAGCATCGGTCGACAAGACATCATGTCGATTGTGTGGAGATGGTCCCCTGCCTGTGTCCAACCAAGCCTCGAACTCCCCGACGGGTCGTTGCGGACCCAGTGCCTTCAACCGGCTACCATCGCGGAACAAGCTTCTTACATGCTGGTCCCCAGGAAAGTGCCGCGAACTGCCTGGAAGGCGTCATCGACATCGGCGGGCCCAAATGAGTTTCTCAGCTTCTTTCGCTTTTCAAAAGGCTGAGTTGCTTGAAGTTGCTTTGACCAAAGCTGTTTGCTAGACGAGCCTCACCACAGTGCCGGGAGATGCGGGAGGGTAGCAAACACCAGGATAGAATCGCTTCAGGTTGGATGTCAAGCCGTCGCATTCAACCATCGTGCCCTTCAACTGGGTGACTCTCGCAAAGCCCACCTAAGAAATGCACGACGCCAGCTCATACCAGTTCTCACTTTCAGTCAGGATCAGCATAGAGGCATAAACATGGAAAAGCCAAGGCACAATTTTCACTGCATTGTCCATGCGACTGCTTTGGGGATCGATGGTCGGAGCCAAGGCTGTTTTCATCCACCATCCAATATCACCCAAGTCATGCATCTCATGCAATCGAAAAGTTCTGTTCAGTCCCATAGAGTCCGGCCGGTGTGCTCGAGCCCCGCTGATCTCCTCCTTTAGAATGTTCGCTGTCTGGAAAGGCCCCTCCGCTTCTCCCATGGTGATCACCAGCAATACGTAGGCCAGCCTTGGCAGATCCATTGACCCTCGGCGACGCTATTCCTACCTCAATGGATCCTGTTCAGTCGGCCCCCGCTGCCACAAGAGAGTCACCAGGCACGGCGCACGGAACCGCCAGGAAACTCAGCCCACTGCCAAATTGCGAAAGTCATCGGCAAGGTGCCACAAGCTGTCCGCATGCCTTTACCTTGGTGCACAGCGTATCAAGCGTCTAAACGTTCAAGGCTTGCACCGCATTTCCTTCCCGGTTCCTTTCAAGCTACGAACTGCCAGGAACTCCTCGAGCTGAGAAAGGGTGACTCCGCCGTAGTTCGCATCCGGGTCCACAGGCGGCTGGCTATCAACGCCTCAGCTTTGAAGGGCCAAAGAGGCGCTGCAGTTTGCATGCGTGCATGTGCATTTGCGGATGTGTGCTGCAGGCTGTCGCCGAGGCTCTGTAAGGCATGGAGGCATAAGCAGAGCCTTGAGACATTTCAGCACTTGAGAGCTGAGATCCTGCCCAAGACAACTCACTGCCAGATCCCCCGGCAGCCGAGACAAATGCCCTTCCCAAGCATGCCACCATTGAGAGGTGCAGACCACTTGCGGAGTGCAGAATCAAAAACGGGATCCCATGGCCACTGCAACAAGCGCTTATCACCAGCAGTGCTATGCTGCCCTTAATCAGCTATGTGCTGAGCCCTGCCAGCCCCCAATCTGTCGATGCTCCTTCTGCGGAGCGCGGGGACCCTCCACCAGATCCATACTCATCGTAGTCCACCTCTAATTCCTGAGTTGCAAAGGTTACTGTATGTGATGGCCGCGTGTACAAGTCGAACATTCTCAAAAGAATCGCAATTTCAAGCGTTTCTGTGCCTCTTCCTCTTTGGCTTGCGCTATGTCCGCCTGGCGGGCTGCCTTGGCGAATTACCATCGCAAACGCAAACCCTAAGGCACGAGAGCAAGCGCTCGGATATGCTGGGCCGAGGTGCAAGGACCCAGGGTGCAATTGTGGAATTCCGCAGAGGAGGCGGCTTCCGTGGTGGCGGTGCGGGGATGTCTGGCTGCGTTCGAAAGCTGCCTGCCCATGTGCAGGTTTCATGCGTGTGCAATGCTGGGCAGCAACAATGACGACGGAATCAGGAGAAGAAGCATGAACCAGGACGATCAGGAGTGAGGAAGACTTGTTAATGACAGATGTCGACTAGCTAACTGGTGATCTCTTAGAAATAGTTCATCTTGCTCTCGCGAAACCCATGGAAGCAGCAGGTACCCATGGTGGATGTGGCGTGGGGACATGCAGTGCGCCCGGCCATCTTCATTCGTCCAAATAGGTGGCACAGCCACTACGCTGCCAGGAAGTGAAGCGTCAAAGTGCTCCGTGCCAGCCTCCCAGCTAGAAGCTACTTGGAACTGCCACGGAGTGATAGTCACAGCAGTTATGCTTGCGGCGCCGGGACAGATCTCGCAGATCCTACCACGTGCTCGGACTATTCTTGTTGCGACTTGCCGTCCTCCTGCGCCTCAGGCTGAACTTCTGATGCAGAGGTGTCCTCAAGCAGAGACAACCGAGACGCAGGATAAACAGGAGTCTTTCTAGCTAAAGCCAGCGTGACTGCAGTCTATGGCACTAAGGAGCTTGGAGGCTGCAAGGGACTCGCCCCGGCAGCTCCGAATCTGGAAGGGAAATCCTAATGCAAGCGAGCCTCAGCCATCGAGTCTGGTCATTTGCGGTGAGACATGCGCCGCTAGTTGTCGACGCTTGTGCAAATTACCGTGGGCTGCTCTCCTTGTATAGACATTCTGAAGGTGTGATGACGAGTCTGAGTTGGGAACTTTCGCACCAACCAAAATTCATGATTTTAATCCCCTGTATGAGATGGAGAGAACTGTTCTTGGAGCACCAGTGGGAGCCAGAATGGCGACAGCGCAGCAGTTTGACCTGGCTGTGTGACGAGACCTTTCCTTGCTACCAGCGCTGCAGTGTGTAACAGAGCTGCTTCAGCTTCCTCGAGCCAAGGGGCGAAGGCTGCTGTGGCACATCCTGGGCAGTGTCAGACTTGCCAATTCCGCTCTTCGCCCCAGAAAGACTTTGATTTTCGGCTCAGGCACCAAGCCATGGAAGCCACCAGAACTGTTCCAGAAATGTAGGCTGCTCCTTCAGGGGCCCTCACATAATCAAGAAAATGCTAGCCGTTGCCGCCCATGTGTTGAGCTTCCCAAGCTTCCAAGCTTGACCCTTTGAGTCCAAGCTTTCAAGCCAGTAGGGGGGGTGTGGGGCTGAGGGATCAAAAACAATCAAACAGGGAACAAAACAAAAGAACAACAATCAAACTATTATCTCCTGGAGGGTATACTCACGATTACCAACTTTCGGATCAGAACAAAATCAAACAGGGATCAAACAAACATCAAACAAGGATAGGCGTCGTAGGCGTGTCTGCTAACCAGCGTCGCAGACGTGGTGCTTTGACTGCATTGACATTCGGGGAACCTTGTGTTCTCGGTGGGGGCGCTTGGGGGCAGAGAGACACGGTGCCAGGGGCAGGGTGGTTGGGGTCGAGGTAGTACTGGCTGTAGCCGTATGCGTATTCCATAGTGGCAGTAACAATAATGGCAGCAGGTAGTGGTAACAGTAGCGCCGAAACATAACAGTAATCGGGATTCAAACGATGATCGCTAAACTGATAGTCACTGCTAATCGTAGCAATCATGGACATGCAGCAATCGCAATAGCAATAGAGCTGCTCTAGCCAAACATTGCGATGTCCCGCTCAGATGTCTTGGAGCCGTTCTGGGTCCTACTACTGTAGTGTACAGCATTTCACAGTTTTGGTATGTTTTGCTCTATGTTTGATTTTTTTGGATCCCTCTATCCCGACGAGTGGAGTGCATGCTGGGTCTGGATTTGCAGGGCAGTGGCCGATGCCTGCAGAAGTTGGCTAACGAACATTTCCCACGGCCTAGCAGCCTGGCACAACAGGGGTGGCTCTTGAACATTCGGCAACGGGAACATGCTTAAACGGCATTGGGTTCTCAATAGCTACATGTTGACATGTTGATATCTGAGGGCGCCGTGCCCGGCTGGAAACTCTAGCAAGCACCTGCCACAAACGAAGAACGAAGACCGCCGAGCTTTTCCAATCTAGCAAAAGCATCTCTATAAAAATCGTTCTGCCGGTCGCGTTATCGCGACATATCGGCATGTCGTGATACTACGTTACTACGTACAATATCATTATCTATCATTGCACGCACACGCCCACACGCACGCACACGCACACGCACACGCGCACAAGCGCACACGCGCACACACGCACACACGCACACACGCACACACGCGCACACACACACACACACGGAGATATGGGGTAGTTGCTTAGTCGGCATCTGCCACTGCATAGGATAACTCCAGGTTGTCGACTTGGCTAAATCCTTAGAAAACCTGACAATAAGCAGCATCAGTGGGGTTCTCAGCTTAGCCCCATGCTATGACAGATGCAGGTACGCTGGGATGATCAGTCCCAGTATCCTGAGGTCACCATAGAGAGCTTCGTTGGGCAGAGCTCTATGGGCCTCCTCTGCCCCCCTGCTGCTAACACAAAGAAAAGTTCCC